TTACCAGATTTCGCACATCCGATCTTATCAATGCCCTTCCAAATCATAGCAGTAAAATGGCCGATCCCAGAAATGTCCTTCCACGAATCACAGCGGCCCTTCATAAAGTCGTTATACTCATTATACCAATTCCACACAGCACAATGCTGATTATATTCACTGTTAGTGCCATTGCAAACACTAGGAGCTGCGCCATATCCCATAGCCAGATTTTCCCCAGCATAAGGAGCCGACGAGTACGAGCCTGAAGCCAGGAACTACACACGTCACTTCCACCGAGAATTCACCTGAGTGCACCAAAGAGCCGCCTTCAGTAGCCAAATGATCAGCCCATTGCTGAGATTCAGCCTCCAATTCGGTACTCCACTCAACTGGCCCGGCACCATGCAGACAGCGAAAGTAGTTATGATCCTTCACCCAGCCCTCGATGCCCTCAGCCTCCTCAAAGGCTCCGTAAACTGAAGTAGACTGTAAGACGAAGAAACCAACGCTCGCGGTTTTCATAGAGGAAAAGTTTCTCCCAAAAGGGGTGTTGCCCTTCATGTAAAAACTCAATGGCGTCAAGCATCAGAAAATCACCAATTTTTTCACTTTTTCCCTTTCGGCCGACACTGGCCACGTTGCATCTTATCAACATGTTTCGCGCTCTTAAAATCAACCACTTTTCTTCGCCATCTTGGATTAGGATGCCACAACGGGACTTCACTTTCATTGCAGTGTTTCTGGAATTCATACCTTTCCACAGCACACTCCCATCACCACAACACTACTGCTCACCTTCGGTAGTTGTCACACACGTCTAATCTCAGCCAAGGACCTCCGCAGCCCTCGCCCTCATCAGCGCCGCAAATACTACTGACAACCTGAATTTATAATTATTGCACGACATACCACTCCTCCGTCACTTCCTGATCTCCAGTAGCAGTCTTCTCCTCGTTCACTAGCTTATACTCCCCATTAAACCAGGCTGTCTCCAGTCGATGGAACACCTCCCAACTTGGTCGCAGAAGCATCACTCCACTGTTGAGAACTACATCGCCCTTCATGAACTCAGCCGGCCACTGGGCCGCCACAACTCCTTTCCCATCGTAAATTTTCCCATACTTTTCTATCAGCTCCACCGTGGCATTTTTACGCCACAGAATGTCACTATCGTACCACACAATAGGAGTGTTCTCCCCTTCCGGAAGCACCTCCCCGAGCCGCCAAATCAATAGCTTATTGAACGTAAATAGGCAACACTTCAGACCGGGGTAAGCGCTCTTCAGTAGCGTCGGCCACTCGCGATACCCGACTCCCACATCAACAACAGCCACTCCGTTAACCTTCAAGTTTTGCATCAAATCTCTATCGTCTGTACAGAATTTATTAGCAACAACGAGTACCCTTGAAGGGTTCGTAGTAGCCAGCAGCGAACACAACGCCATAGACAGCTGAGCCTGAGCAGCCACTCTCCGGAATTTCCAGGCGCGCGACGGTATATAACTCCAGTATGGGAATATGTGTCAGGCTTCCTCAACTGAGCTCACTATATTATCAAAATCCACACAGGATTCGGGATAGAGGCATTGAAAAACCAACGATAATTTCCCAAAATTTTTTCAGAATTTCCATATTTTTACCAACACGTGTAGTTGGTCATGTGCATATATTCCCACACTGTATGCTTCACTTTAAAGCGGCCAGTTCTCTCCTTTCTATTCTTAATCACAGCCGCGCGATCAGCGTTGTTTTCATTGGTCCCGTCTTGATCCACAGTTCCCTCTCTATAGAGGTCCTCCATAAAGCATGCAGTGACGTACGTCACCGCTCGTGGGTTGAGAAATTCTTCCTATCCATCGAAATCGGAGACCGATCGAATCC